TTTTCCACAAAGAAAACATGTGGCTGAAATGAGGTATGAGGTATCTTATGGCATCATAATTAAGCTTCCTACCTTTTGGAACAGGCTTTGGGTGGGGATTACGCCTTATGATGCCTTAACATGCCGCCTATGGAGGCAGCTCACTAGATTTTGGAACAGAGCATCTGTCTGCTTCTCCCCTTCTCTCCTCCCATCTTTCTTTTTTGTGTGAATATGTGTGTGTGTGTGTGTGTGTGTGTGTGTGTGCACGCATGTTCGAGAAAGCAGGATTGATTGCCTGTGGCTGACATCCGAACACTACACCTTAAACATGACTGCAGGCTTTTAATCATTGATAGGTTTTTGCTGGAGTCAGGCAGGCTACGGGGCAGCCCTGCGCTCATGCCAGAAATTGCTGATTCACCCTATGCTCTTTCAGATCTTTTATTCAAGCCTTTATTTTATAGATATATGTTGTTTGTGTTTAGTACATGTGAGACAGCAGGAGAGTGTGTTCAGATGGAGATGTGTGTTTGTGTATGCGTGCACTCCTCAGGGACTTGTGAGCACAGCCGCCTTTGAGACAGGCATAAAAGACAGAGGGACAAAAGAACAGATCTCTTCTTACAACTTTTTAATTCTGTAAGAATTTTCAAAACTGTAAGAAAGCAAAAAAAATTGTAATGTCTAAAATAACTGGTTTTATTCAAGCCACGAATATTATTTAACATCACTCACCTAACTAAAACCTAACTGAAAACTAATTTAAAAATAGTTTTTAAGGTAATATTCGCAGGTTACTACATTTTACAGTATATATTAGTCAATGCTTGCATGTGTTTCATAACTTTTCACTGAACAATCTTTGCCACAGTACGGTCAAGCAGGGATATTATAGTTAACTAAAACTAAAATTAAAACTAAAACCATATAAAAATGTGTTGCTTCAAATAAAATTGAACATTAACTGGAATAATAGTTGTTGTTGTTGTTGTTGTTATTATTAAATGAAATATAAAAATGAAATATAAATGAATATAAATTTCATTAAAACTTATCAATTTTAATCAATTGTCTCTACATGAGATTTGAAATAATATATATCCAAATATTTTTATTGTAGACATGACAACATCACTAAATGTAGAGATTTATAGTTTTAATTTTTATTTATATTGTTAAATTGCAGTGAATTATATTATATTATATTATATTATAACAGAATTACTACAACTTTAACTACAATTAAAATGAAAATATAAAAATAAAAAGTAATTCAAAATATTAGGAAAAATTATAACAGTATCTTAGCAATACTAAACACTGCTGTCAAGTACCTCCTTTTGTAATCTTCTATCAAATTAACTCTTCAGCATTCTTTAAAGGAACCGTTTACCCAAAAATGAAAATTCGGTCATTATTTATTCACCCTCATGTCATATTCTGCAGCCAATATTTGTGTAGGACAGATTGTAGTGCTGCTTTCTGGAGTGCAGTTCACTCCTTCACCAGTTTTTATGCTCTAGTTATGCAGTGTGAATGTGAAGCTAACCTTTGAGTCTTTGGTTCCTTATTTTCGGTGAACTGCCCAGCTTTCAGTAATTATCCTTATAATTTGCATTCCAACCTCTTGTTCTCTATTCAAACTAGCTTTTACTATTTTTACCCACTGATTATTAAAGTGAGTGTCATGGCAAGTGTGAACTGGTTGCTCGCTTTATGCTAGTCTCAGCTTCAGGCCAAATGAACCATCGACTGACCATCTGGTTACACACAAAAACGGCAAGCTCCAGTCTGATTGGCTGTCTTAATTTCAGATCAGCTCACAGGGAAATAGCAACTGTAGAAAGAGATTTTCCTTAAAGGCTCTTGAAGCACTGTGCTCATGTGTCGTAGATGTGTTCGATTTACAGTAGATAGCAGCACCTCTCAGTATTATTCATGAGACAGGCGCTTTTTCAGCCAAGAACTGGCTACAAATACAAATTTGCATGATCCAAAAGTCCAAGGGATTTTAATGTGTTCCTAAGATGCAGACAGACTGACAGCCCTTCTTTAAAGACCAACACCTCTGATTTGTTTTCATGGAAGAAATTTGTTTGTGACACTGTTTATTTTAATTGTTTATTTAAGACCAAGAGGATGATGATGATGATGATGATGATAACTATTCTTATTGTTTTTGTTTACTTTTTATTGCTATAATAATATTATTATTAGTAGTATATGTTTTAAAAACCAACAACAACAATAATAATAATTATTATTATTACTATTAGTATATGTTTTAAAAACAACAACAACAACAATAATAATAATAATAATAATAATAATAATAATTATTATTATTATTATTATTATTATTATTATACAGGTCATATATAAACCGTTTTAAAAATGTGCCACAAAAAAGCACTTGTTGCCTTGTCCATATGTTTTAACAACAACAACAATATTTAATAATAATAATAATTGCATTATTATTATTATTATTATTATTATTATTATTATACAGACCATATATAAACATATTATTATCATCATAAAACATAAAGACAAGTGAGGAAGACAGGGCTTATTTGTGACACAGATAATTTGAATTGTTTACATAATAATAATAATAATAATAGTTTGACAAATTAATTAAGTTTTTAATTCGTGAAACGTTTCCAAATGTAAAACTGAAACAAGATTTTGCCAGTTTTTTAGGTGTTTATTTGATTCCCCCCACAAATGCATTAACATGTATTTTGCAAAGCTGAGTGCAATACAAAGATTTATTTGTAAAATTAGAAACAACAGATACAATTGATGTATTTTTGGATTGTATATATTTGTTTGCGCAATTTTGAATTGTCCCATGCATTAGTGAGAAGTTCTCATATGGTTTTTAACTACATAACAGTGAAACAGTGGACTGCAGACAGTCAGGGCTTTCTTTTCCCCACTATTCAAACTGTGCAGAGACCTGACCTGTGCTGAAAAGTGTAGCGTTTGGCTTTAAGCACCCTGGACAGCTCCCGAGCACACAGTGTGCTCATCTCTAATGCTGCTGCTGATATCCACACAACACAATGCAGCCTCTCACACACCACAAGCTCTACAGTACGTCCTAATGCCATCTTGATTTACAAACCGCTTCGGTCCAGTTCTTGCCCCGCTCAGTTTTGCATGTGTAATTTGTGGAGTTATTTGCGTATGATTTCACACAGAGGTTTGGATGGCGAACACTTTTTCATCTGCACTGGGTTTTTTAATGCTTCCTCTGTCTCTTATCTTATCCTGGTCCTTTCTCTCTCTTCTCTCTAGAGATTAGGGAAGAAAACAGCCCAGATTCCCCCGTTCTCTCTCTCTCTCTAACACACACACATGCTCCCTCCCCCACTGATAGGATCTCTAGAGGATGGAGTGGATTAATGACCTCGCTGGAGAGGGCCAGAGCTCTCCAAATCACCCGCTCATGATCACTGTGTGTGTGTGTGTGTGTGTGTTTTACACTGCCACATATGCTTATTTCTACTATATATATGCAAGCAAAACCAGTCGCACTGTTGCATTAAATTCAACCGGCTGAAAGCCAGACCCGTTCAGCCATGAATTCAAGGCGATCTGAGCGCTGCACACAGAGCTGTCCTTGTCTTCCTTGTTAATTATATACACCAGTCTCCTGCTGTGTATTTGTTTGTCTCCACAGCAGTTTCCTCTCTTCCTGTGACAATATTTAACAGACCTCCAGTTCTCCCAGTGGAGAGCCTGTCCCCCTCCCTCCGCTCCGACTGCAGGCTTCAGCAGGCCCATATACCACTGTGATAGGAAACATATGGACAGAAACACACTACACAATCCGGCGGGCTTCATATGAGCAGCTCTAGTTAATGCTGCTCGCACTATTTCTCATATTTAGGGGTGGGATATGAAGGAAGCTCTCAGTATTACAATGTTTGTGCTACATGAATTATATTTATTTGTTGAGTTATCAGACATGTGATTTTCTTCTGGTGAATACTAAAATGGGCAAAAAGTATATATATATATATATATATATATATCCCAAAGATGGACATTGCATGAGGGACTGAAGTCATGTTTAGATACCAGAATATTATTAACCTTGCGACTGCATAGCAACTATCCTCAACATCTCAACTTCCTACATCTAACATAATCTTCTTCTTCAAAAAAAAAATCATTATATTCATTATGTCATTATTTCTTTCTTTCTTGTAACACTTGACAATAAGGTTCACATGATTAACATTAGCTAATGAATTAACTAACAATGAACTAAATTCTAATTATTCTACACTACTGTTTAAAAGTTTGCAGTCAGTATTTAAAAAAAAAACTCTTATGCTTACCAAGGCTGCATTTATTTGATCAAAACTACAATAAAACTATTATTGTGAAATATTATTATATATACAGTAAATATTATTTTATGTTTTAATATATTTTAAATTTTTTCTGTGATGGCAAAGCTGAATTTTCAGCAGCAGAAATCATTCTAAAATGCTGATTTGCTGCTCTTATTTTATTTATTTGTTTGTTTATTTGTTGATTGATTGATTGATTGATTGGTTGTCAGTGTTGAAGACTGTGAAAACAATGCTGCTTAGTATTTGTGGAAACCGTAATACAATTTTTCTGCATTTTTTGATAAATAGAAATTTTAAAAGAACAGCATTTATTTGACATAAGATTTTTGCAACATAATTAATGTCTTTACGATGACTTTTGATCAATTTAATGCATTCTTGCTGAATAAAAGAATTAAATTAAATTAAATTAAATTTAAAATCTTACAGACCCCAAACTTGTGAATGGTACTGTAGGTTAATGTTTGCGCAATCGTTAATTACAGATGAACAATATTATATTTGTAAATTACCATACACCTAGAATAATAATGCTGTAAAACATGTTCATTGTTAGTCTGTGATACCTAATATCATTTAATAATAACATATTTTTTACTTCTTTCTTTTCATTTAAATTTGTGCGCTTTTCTCTTCTCTTTGCAGCCAAAAAAGCAGCCGACGGTTCTGTCATCCCGAACGGCTACTGTGACTTCTGTCTAGGAGGCTCTAAGAAAACAGGCTGTCCTGAAGATCTAATTTCCTGTGCGGACTGCGGCCGATCAGGTGCGACCAAAGCCATGTAAGCTCCGCTCGGAAATGGGATTTATTAATTTTCTCAACATATTACCTTCTTCTCGGGCTCTTGCAGGTCATCCGTCGTGCCTGCAGTTCACGGTCAACATGACGGCGGCGGTGAGGACCTACCGCTGGCAGTGCATCGAGTGCAAATCCTGCAGCCTGTGCGGAACATCAGAGAATGATGTAAGTCAACTGAACGAAGCAACTTACAGTGGACTCTTTGTTGTGTTTCTGAACTGTTTAATCCAGGGCCCCAGCGCTGGTGTTTGGGGACATGTGTAAATATTACACGCCTCAATATTATACAACATTTGTGGCTCTTCCTTTGCAGGGAGCTGGAGTTGCCATCTGTGTCTGCGCCAGCTAAAGGAAAAAGCGTCCGCCTACATCACACTAACCTAATCTCCGTCCCTACTTCACCCTAGCAGTCTCATCCTACTCTATCCCATCATCACAGATCCAAAGAGACTCCCCCAGCATCCACCAGAAGAGAACATGTTTCATCTGCCCATTGCCTGCATGGTGACTGCAAGGAAAACGTAGGGTGCGATTAACATTTTTGTATGTCAGTTGGGACTCGAGCAGACCTTTCCTCAACAGTCCCTCCAAAGAGTTCTTTCCTTCATGGATCAGAGAGGTCTTCTTCTTGTTTGACTCCATCTTATGGTGGTTAGACAAGTAGTGCCAAACGGTTTGTCGCTGAGGAGACATTTTGCACGAGTCTGGGGGGGGGGGTCAGTGGGAGGAGTCTCTGTGACATCATTACATGACGCACCAACTGCAAAAGAGACGAGTGCCACATGATCTCACCGCAGCTTTCGGTTGGTTTAGCTCGGGTGAGAGATGGTATCAGCGTGCCATTGATTCTTCGCGGTGTATTCTTCAGGAGCAGACACCAGCACGTAATGAGATCATGTTTAGTCATTCAATTTGGTCTTATTCTAGCTGTAATTAGACTTCTGTTGTAGAGATGAATGAATTCTTCAATAATTAATATCCCTTGAAGGTACAACTTTTGGTTCTTGCAACACATCACAGTAAAATTTTTAAAAAAAGGTGATATATCACTAGCATAGTTTGCGTTAAAAGGAATATTCCTGGTTTGATACAAGTTAATCGACAGCCTTTGTGGAATAATTTTGATTACCACAATACTGGTCCCTTATTTTCCTTCAAAAATCTGAAAATCGTAGTTAGAGTGAGGTAGAGGTTGGGATCTACAGGACTCAATGCAATCTTATATATATATAAAAAAAAAAAGATAATTATGACTTTTATCTCAAAACTCAGTCTTTATTTTCTCAGAATTTCGAGTTTATATCTCACAGTTCTGACGCACATCAATCCCGCAATTCTGACTCAAAAAAGTCTGAATTGTGAGATACATTTTTTTTATTCCATGGATGAAATAAGATTCCATAAATATAAACATTGTTCCGCCCACACCCGCTCGTAGCAATCAAAACGCTAAATAAAATTGCATTTATTTTTTATTTTGTGGCAGAAATAAGCTTTCATAGATATGTGCGTGAAAAGCGGGAGAAAGAAATGACTCGTGGGGTAAAATATAAATGTCAAGTTAATCAATTTTGTTAGTTTTTATGAAATAGGCACAACAAAAAATAAACAATTTACAGGTGAAGGCTTGGATATTCTCAATGTTTTTCTTTTTTATGCGACAATTCCATTGCCTGCTGCGACAATTGCAACAAGTTGTTAACATTAACAACATTAACAACACACACAAGGCTGGCACTTGAGATCTGTGAGCGCTGTGTGTGTGGGAATTGGAAAAAATAGGCTATGACACTGGAACGAGACTGAAAAATCTGCGTAGACATCTTACTGCGGGCTTTTTTGGACACGAGCGGGACAAAACGTGAAGTTGTAGGCATTAACAGGACAAAATATAACATATTTCTGTGGGAGCAGGATTGAACAATCCATCCCACCCAGACCTCTACAGTTCACAAGCACTAAATTTCGTCACTCAAAATGAATCTACTTGATTTCAGATTATGGAAGATCTGTTTATATGAACCCTAAATGCTTCAATCCGATTCACATATTTGTTTACATGTGCATTATATATATTCCATACAAAAATTCAGCACATATGTGAGGCCCAGTTGCTGCGTATGAGAAAGCCACTGCCTTAATGTCATTTCAGTACGATTGATGGAGTTGTTTACATGAAGGCTTTTCAGTCTGATTGAGCCATCAGTCATCAGTCAGTTTTTAAATGGATTACTTGAGCACATTTAAACCTAGTGAGGCACTTACAATGGCAAACTGTGTTAAAATACTAAAAACAGTTAATGAAGTATAGCCAGAAGACACAAACAGTATGTGTTAACATGATTTCAGTGTGAAAAAACACTTACTGACCTTTTCTGTGAAGTTAGTATGTCCAATTTTGTAACTTTGTTGCCATGACAACATCAGCATAAAACAACCCTAAAAAAGATGAGAGTTTTAACAGGCATTTTAACTGCAAAATTAATGTAAGTGTTTTTATAATATTGTAAGTTTTACATTTGTGCTTTTAAATTCTCCAAAAATTGTCCCCATTATATGCCTCTTCATTCTTGCACATTTTTTAAAAAGAAAACGGGGACCAGTAGAAATGATTTTTTGTGGGAATCAACGTAACTTGTATTGATTCTGGAAAATTCTAGAATATCAGTCACTTCTAGGGAAGTCTTAATGCTGCAAACTGTTTTCATAGATATAGATCCCTTTATTAGGAAGGTCTGAGGTGCATGTCTATCAACCAGAGTCAAATTTGCTCTGTGTGAAAAAAGAAAAGAAAGAAAAGCAGATTTCAATCATTTTTCTTCCAACATGATCCCCACCTTCTCTTCCTATTCTGAACAAGCCACCATAAAATTCCCTCTCAGCCAGGGTGTGTTTCTAAGAGTGTATATTTATCGGGCAACGTCTGTCCTTGTTTTAAAAACAGGGCGTTAAATGTTCGATTGTTCTCTTTTTTTATGATGACTTGCTTGCATGTTGTAATAGTATCGTTTTTAAATCATTTAAGGACAAAAAATCGAAGAAAGCACACTTAATCTGCAATAATGTTTTTGTGTTTGTGACCCTCTCTGGGGAAGTTGTGTCTGTATGTATGTGCGCTTTAAAACTCTTGTGGAACCTTGAACCTGTAACCGGCAGAATGCTAGTGGGCGGAGACTACAGTGGGCGGGGTGTTTTGAAAAAGGGGGAGGAGTTTGTGACATTCTGATGATTTCAGATGCCATCGATTTTGATTTCCTGGACAAACTAAAGACCAGCTTTGGAGACTCTGTTTTTTTCCTCGGTCTCTTTGGAGGGGCATTTTTCCTTTTTTGTGACAAGAAAATTGTGCGCCTCTTTTGTAAAATGAGCTCTTTACTATCTGTAAGTCTGCTTTGTGTTCTGAGACTTGCTACTGCAGCCTGCTTAAAAGAAGAAAAAAATGTCAAGCTAAATCCAGAGGAGTGTTACGGGGACGGCAGCATGTGTGTGCGTGTGTGCGATTGTGCTGAGGTGACTGTTTTGAACCCAAAGTCCCCTCTTATCCGTGGCCTAACTGAAAAGACTGCCTGCCATTTTCTCTACACCGAGTCCTTGAGCTTTACGTTGCGAGACGTTTGCTGTAAATAGATAAGTGCTCTGTCTTTCCAGAATCAGTCCATGCTATAGACTCAAGTGAAATGTTCTATGTGCTGTAATGCATCAAAATGTGAAAACAGCCTTTTCTATGCTGTCAGTGGAATATTAATCCATGTTATTGGGTTATTTCTATTTTTGTATAATTTTCCAGTTTATGGTTTTAATGAGCACTACGCCATTGGTAACTCTGATGCCAGATATGTCAATCTTTTCGATTCTTTTTAAAAGAGTTGTAGAAATGTTTCGTCTTCAGTAGAAATAATCTTGATTTCGCATTTTGATATATCAACTTCTCTGTTCAGCCAACCCCTCGTTGTTCTTTTTTGTACGTATGACTATTTTGCACAGTCTGTGTGATTTTATTGGATGAGGGCACTATTAGAGAGTTTTGATAATAAAATCAAAGCAATTTACACCCGAGATGAAATTACAGACACATTTTGCATGTGCTGATATCAATTACACACAATAATTACACATGGAATGTGTTGATTCTTTCCCTCTCAGTTCCTGAAGCCAAAACACTGTGGCTCTGTGGCGTTTTCAAAACATTGCTATGTTTGTTTGAGCAGCCCAGCATAGCAACACTGGCTCAACCAATAGCAAGAGTTTGGAGGCGGAGCTGTCTGTATGTGTGACCAATGGCAGATGGAAGGGCTGGTTAAAGTGTTTTGAAAACCTTTTTTGCAATTTTTGCAGTTCTATTCAGTGCCGCAGAAATTACACATTTAACTTTTAACAGTATTAAGGGGGAAAAATATTATGATTTGTCTGCCTTGGTGAGATTTTTGGATAGAAACTAACCTTCATGTTCTGTAATATTTTCAAACGATTGTCAAGCTAAAAGAAGGGCTGTGATTGGTTTGTATGAAAATATGTTTTAGTCCGCAGGCCTTTATTGATGAGGGGTGGAGTCATAATGATGTGATTGTATTCTTAGTAATGTGAGAGTACAAGTGGCATTATGTGGGATGAGGGATTATGGGTACACAACGCTTAACCAGATTGTTAAAATGGTGGGCAACTACACATCCGTTTCAACATGGACCACTGTGTCCTCTCTCTGTCCAGCTTCGGTTGAGATCTGTGCTCTTTTTTGTCTTTATTCTGTCTCGCTGATTTTGCAGGGTCTTCTCTACCTGTGTATTGTTGTGCTGTGATTTTCGCTTGCAGTTTTCCCCCACAAACACACACACACACACAAAAGATACTCTTGTGCGAGAGGACGTGTGAGTGTTTTCCTTTCTTGTAACTGTCCATAGAAAAATAAAACAGACGTATGGAGAAAAGAAGCGTGTTCTGACTCAGGACTGAGTTGTACATTTGTTTTCATTGAACTTGAAATGGGTGCTCCTCGTGGAACTGAGCGGCTCTGATGACTGCTGCTCAGTGATCCATTTTAAAGAATGTCCTTTCTTTTATTTCTGTCCATTTTGACAAGCAGGAAATAAAAAAATTTACCATTATCTGATTTGGTCTTCTGTGATGTTTCCAGTGAAGCAGCGCTGAAATACAAAATTTAACTCTATTCAGCAACAGAGGATATATGTGGCTTTTTTTTGGTTGTGTTTTAAATCAAATATTCTATTTTATTTGGATCTTTTGGAACAATTACAAAAGTAGTTCAGCTAATAATGAAAACACTCATTTTGACGAATGCACTGGTTGCTATTTTTCATCCATTTACAATGAATAGTAACTGGAGCTTTCAAGCTTCAAAAGGGACAAATGTACCATAAAAGTATGATTAGGTCAAATGATTAGTGCACTA